TCTTTCTGTCTTTTACTTTTGTGAGGTGGTATTCTATGATTTTTTACCTCCATTTCCTCTTTTTTTATGTTATGTATCTCATTTCTAGATTTTTTTTGAATGGTTATCATTAAGTTTTTGTAAAAGAAATTTCATATACATAATAGTCTTTTTCCTTTAGCATGCATCTTATCTCCATACCCCTTTGTAAATTCAGACCTTTGCCCCTACCCTTCATGTTTTTGTTATCACAGATTATCTATTTTTATGCTGTGAGATTGTTTCCACGTTGTCTTTCTCACTCGCTCTTTTTTTTTTTAACTTTTTTTACCTCCTTTAACCTGTATGTTATATTTAAGTGTTTGATACCCTATTCTGAACAAGGATCGCAATTTCCTGCTTCTGTCTGTTAGTCATCTTGCTCATGTTTTTATTTTCCTTTGTCTTTTTGTTTGAGGTAGAAAAGCACTGTTCAGTATTTCCTGTAATGCAGGTCTTGTAGTGGCAAATTCCCTCAGCTTTTGTATGTCTGGAAAAGTCTTTATTTCTCCTTCATATATAAAGGATAACTACTGGAGATATTAATCTTGGCTGGTGATGTCTCTCTCTCAATAATTTGAATATTTGATTTCACTCTTAGCTTGTATAGTTTCTGATGAAAAACCTGATGATTATCTAATGCGAGTTCTTTTAAAGGTTACCATCTTCTTCTCCCTGACTGCCTGGAGAATTCTTTTTTTATCATTAATTTTTGACAGTTTTAATATAATGTTCCCTGGAGAAGGTCTTTTTGAATTGAGATAATTAGGTGTTCTGTTAGCTTCTTGGATTTGAGGATCCAGCTCTTTCCATAGACTTGCAAAGTTCTCATTCATTATTTGTTTGAATAGCCTCTCTGTTCTCTTCTCCCGCTCTTCTAGTTTACCCATTATTCTTATATTGCTGTTTCTAACGGAGTCAGATAGTTCCAGTAGAGTTCTTTGTCTTTCTTTCTTTCTTTCTTTCTTTCTTTCTTTCTTTCTTTCTTTCTTTCTTTCTTTCTTTCTTTTTCTTTCTTTCTTTCTTTCTTTCTTTCTTTCTTTCTTTCTTTCTTTTTCTTTCTTTCTTTTTACTGTTGATGCTCTCTCTTCATCCACCTGAGTCATTTCTAAATTTCTATCTTCTATGTAACTAATTCCTTCCTCCATCTGGTCAGCTATATTTCTTACTCACTAGGTCATTCTTTATCTCTTTTATTGAGTTCTTCTTCAGAATTTGTTTGTTTGGTTTTTTTTTGTAATAGTTTCAGTGTTTTTGTTGAAGAACTCTTTTTTGTTCATTGGTTGTATTTCTGAGTTCATTGAATTGCCTTTCTGAGTTTTCTTGTGTCTCACTGAGTTTTTTTCAGACCTGCAGTCTTGAATTCTCTGTCATTTAAATCACATTCTTCCATGTATTGGGTTGTCAGAAAAGTCATGACGCATTTTTGCAATGAAAAACAGAAAAAATACATCATGAATCATTGACTTTTCTAACAACCCAATATTTAAGTTTATTTTCTAGAGATTTTTTTAATTTTCAACAATCTGAGTCCCCTTGTTATCTTGGTTTTTCATTATGTTTGATGGATTCATTCTCTGTCTGGGCATTTGTGGGAATGGAAACTTTTTTTATTTAAGAATTTGACACTTCATTGTTAATCAGGTTGATAAGTAAAGGTCTTTCTTTTGTTTTCCAGAAGGTGGCACTGAAGCACAATTTTTATTTTGTCTTACCTGCACTTCTATGGTTTTGGGGATCTC